GTGGGGGTATCGAAGGAAATTGGACGGAAAATTGTTTAGAATAATAGGTTTTTTGATTCAATTTTTGTTCAAAGACGGTATCTTTCTGTATAGAACTTGAAATATAATCGCCTTGGTGTTGGAATCGAAGAGTAATAACCCTATGCTTTCGAGTTTTACCTCTGGAAATCGATTCGGGAGGCATTTTAGTCATTTTGGTGCCAACAGGTCGTGTGGTTATGACACCAGAATAACCTTCTCCAGGCCCTTAACTAGGTTTATCAAGACCTGTGCTAAGGTATCGCACTTTTTAAATTCACCATTCACGGCCAAGTGTGGCTGTGCATGTAGTGTTGGCTGTGTTGGCTAACGGTGGTTTTTGAGCTGAGGCGTGCAAGTTATCATCTAAACACATCTGAGATACATGGTCTCCAAATGCATGAAGTTTCCACCATTAGAATCCCTCCGATAAATGTCTCGGTTATTGGTTATTGCGGATCTTCTAATTCTGCCCGGTGTCGCGTCGGGAAGTCATGTTTAATTAGTCGATTCATGCACTGGGACGACTATACCGAGGACCACCTCTCTGTTGTTAGCAACTCGGATTATCATGGAAGTGTCGTAGCTGCCAGTCATTGGTTGTATTGGGGCTCTCGGCACATTGAATGTTGCTCGCGGTCGTTCTCGCTGCGGATTATTGAACAATGCGACTTCATCGATGACCACTTATTTACCCCGGTTGCTAAAAAGCCCTATACGGAACGTTGTTTTGCAACAGACATCCGCGTTGAAACCCCAAAAGTGGCATATATCTGTAAGGAACAACTGGGTCATGAATGGAAGTATCATCGAGAAGTCCTGGAAGCTGGGGACTTTTCTGTTCATGCGTTCGTCCTCGTCTCTGATATCTCTCTAACCGGTGAGGCCGCCCATTTACAAGAGTGCTTCCTTGCTCAAGCGTTGCCTCGTCTCTGTAAATTAAAACTTCCCTTTATCCTGGCCACATCGAAGCATGACTGTTTCGCCCCTCCCGAAAATCAAATTTTTCT